ATGTTTGGCAAGCTCGGGCTGCTTTCGCTAACTTACACTGTCTCTGGCGTAGGCGTGACATACGGCTATCAACCAAGGGACGTGTGCACTGCTCAGCAGTTCGCTCCGTCCTTCTCTATGGCTCTCTGAAACATGGCCAATACGAGTTGAAGACATAAAAACGTTGACTGTTTTTGATCATAGATGTCTACGATCTCTTTCTCGCGTTAGGTGGTATAATAAGGTAAGTAATGTTGACGTCAAGCGTAGAGTGTTGGGTAAAGAGGGAAAATCAATCGAAGAGGTTATAAAGTTACATAGATAGGGATAGGCAGGTCACGTGCTGCGCATGCCTAACCATCGCCTCCCCCTCCCGACGGGCATTACTAGCTGATCGACATAGGTGCAGGTTGGAAAAGAGTAAGTGGTGACATGCCAAACAAAAACATGGCCTCATCAATCCATGAAATCCTTGACAGTTAAACTGAGTCAGTCAGGTAGGGAGATGCAGACTTCCGGGTTGGGGCCCACCCTCGGGACTCTAAGAATCAATGGCTGGAGACAGACAATAAGTGACATGGCTCAAAATCGTTGTCAATGAGATAATATCTATCTAGATACAGAATTATAAAGACAAGAATTTTTTCCAGCTTCGTAGAATTTGCAAACCAATTTACTTATGCAACAGGATTTCAATGGTCCATATTCGATATCAGCACTTAGGTAGGTGTCTTAAGCGAATATAAAATAAGCTCTCTGTGGTGCTTTTACGTTTTCTCGACCTAGCTGGCAAAATCTATTGAAGGCAATCAATCATGAATATGTCACTATATCACAGATTCAGGTAATTTCAAAACATTCGGCACTTAAAACAGTAAGTAGTATTACAGACTGTTCCGGGACCTATTGCCTAAAATAAATAAATAAATAATAATGCGAATCGGTCATATACAAACTTTTGTGGTAGTTTCAAATACTACTTTAACTACTTTTACATTGTAATCGCTGCAAAACGATTTTTAGAGATCCTATTATGTTAATATGGGTGTAAAACTTGGGCATCGTAGTGGTGGTAGTAATTCCATATTAGCTTTTTTATTAGATGGATTTATCATACACGGTCAGTGAGTGAAACAGTGTTAGTATTTACTGAATGACAAAGTTGTTTCGAACACAATTCATCATTATTATTGCTGTTCATAATCATGCACATCACCAATTATTATAATCACACTTGACTTCGAAACTTGAGTTTTATGGTTTTCTTTGTTCTTTCCTATTTGTCGTGATTGGAGAAGCAGAATTTTCCAGATATCTGCGTAGACAGGTATTTGCAGTTGATTCGATAAACAAAGCTTCCTATTACATTAGATGATGACAACACCAACAATAAGGAATCGAAATCATCAGTAGTAATTCCATATAAGGAAGGAACCTAGGAAACCACCTTACGCAGAATTCTTAACAAGGCAGACAGGAATAAAAGCGGTTGATATTCAAACCAACCACAAACTCAATTAGAAACAAGCTTTGTCGGTTAAAGGATCAATCCTGTGGAGCCTTTAACTGACAAAACAATTTAGTTTATCTAATACCCTGCCTGCTGGAATGATTGTCAGGTCAAATACATAGGTGAAAGTAGTAGAACAGGGTCAGTCAGTGAGTCAGACTAGCCGAGCAGCATAAAACTCTAGCAGCAAAATCTAGATTGGTTGACCTGAATAAGATAAGAAATCTAGAGAATAGTTCAGCAGCTATCGCAAGCACTACATGCAAATGCACACAACCATACCATAGGCTTGAAGGTATATGATGACAGTTTTTGAAATCTAATGTCACAGGGTGAATAAAGGGAGGGAGAGATTGATAACGGAAGCTTTGTTCATCGAATCAACTGCAAATATGTGGATGCAATAGGAATGATTCAACACCTGTCCAGCCAGATATCTGGAGAATTCTACTACCCATACGACAAATAGGAGAGAACAAAGAAAACTACAAAACTCAAGTCTCAAAGTCGTGTGATTATAATTGACGATATGATTATGAACAGTAATAAATTTTGTTCGAAACTGTGTCATCCAGTAAATAATACTGTTTCACTGTGTGATATATCTAATAAACAAACTAATAAGGGAATTACTTACTACCACCACCACAGTGGCCAAGTTTTACACATATATGAATGCTGTATTATATAAAATAAGAATTATCTGTGACATAAATAAGCACAAAATGTATGCGCAAACAACAACAACAATATCATCAAAGGTAGGAGGCAATAGTCGTTAGATGTAAAAAAAAAACAACAGCAACAACAACAACAACACAGAAACGACTTACTCTTTCGCCTCGTGATCCTCACCGGTATACTCTTCAAAAAGATCTTCATTACGCGATAACACTCGTTCGACAATACGTGAAGAACGCTGAAAGAAGCGGAAGAACGACTCAGATGACATAATCCGAGATTTCTCCTCTTCTGTTAATGTATTCACTGAATAAACAACGACAACATACAAAACAAAAAGAGATTAAGATTAAGAGAGACGATACACACACATCGTAAAGAGATAATTTAATATTTGTATACAATTTTTAAAAATTTCCGGATTATAACTGGCATCAACTAATATCTTATAAAACACAAAATAATTGAGGCAGAGAGGAATATCCTTTTCGATAAATTTCTACTCTTCTCGCTCTACAATTATATCTATATATGCATGTTGATTTATATACATAGAATATTCTAGATTAGTACTCGATAACAATATTAGTGTGCTTTTCAAATAGTAATATCGATTTGTAAAGTAAGATCACAATGGAATTACCACAGTTCATTAAAGATGCTTGAATTATAATAATAATTAAGACATAATAGCGAATAGAATCTCAACTGGAATTAGGAAAATTCCACAAAAATTCAGGATCATTCAAACCACGCATCTTTCATGTGTATCTACTAATTTAACTGCTCCTGCGGAGCCAGTTACTCGCATAGGCTGTACAATCAGAAGTGTTTGTCGTTGAATTTCCGAACATCACCCACCCTGCACAGTGGTTGGTTGATTGGTTAAGTAAAGGACAAACAAAATCTATTCTCAAGTGTTGGTTTCTAGGGATTTGATTGGTTACAGGATTTCATCATGAGCTGGGAACCGATTCAATGGTCCATGACAGGCCACTGGATCGGGTCCCAGTGACTTAATGGTATACGAGCTCGCCTTGTAACCAGAAGGTCCTGGGTTCGAATCCCGGTGAGTGCGTACTGCTGTAGAGTCCCAAACTAGGACGAAACAGCTGTCCGGTACTCTCAGCTTGTTTTCCAATGGTTCTCTAACTAATGTCAGCTCATGATGAAATCCTGTAGCCAAAATCTATTCTCACCGCTGCTATTCTATTCTGTCTCAATCATCATCTTGTGGATACAAAACACAAGACTGATTGATGTTAACAAGGCGGCGGCCTTCAGGGTCATTTACGGAATACCAACCAACAAATCTCAATTTCGCCTTAACAGTTCCACTATTAAATATTCCTGAGGCTGGTTGGCCGTTGAGATCCAGATTAACAAGCCTAATTTGTGCATCCAAAAGAAGTTGGTTGGTTCAGACATTATCCTTACCCGCTTGGCCATCCAGGTTTGAATGATCGATCGATCCTGAATTTTTGTGGAATTTTCCATATTTTAGTTGGTATTCTATTTCCTACTATATCTATATTATTATTACTATTATTATTATTATTATCATTATTATAATTCAAGCATCTTTAATGAACTGTGGTGATTCCATTGTGATCTTACTTTACAAATCGATATTACTATTTAAAAAGCACACTAATATTGTTATTGACTACTAATCTAGAATATTCTATGTATATAAACATGCATATATAGATATAATTGTAGAGCGAGAAGGGTAGGAGGAATTTATCGGAAAGGATATTGTTTGCATCTTATTAAGGCTCTTTTATTTATAGAAAATCTACCTGGACAGGACAGTATCTTCATTACCACAGTTTATGTCCTAGTCGGTAGAAAAAAGCCTTAGTGAGCTTGGTGCCTCTTCAGTAGAATCCAACGAATATGCACTAAAGACAGACACAATTGATGATGAGGAAGAAAGAAATTTGACACAAACTGTGGTTGATAACAATTATCCAGACAAGTTCATCAGGAGATATAAAGTAGTCAGTGGAACACCAAGACCCACTCAATCTACAACTCGCCCCTAAGAAAGATGGGTACATCAAGCTACCCCATGTATAGGCGGGACATCATAGCAGCTTGATAACTAGACAAAGATTAAACGCCGTTGTTGTTGAAAAGACTTTTTATGCAGCTAATATCATAATAATTGAGAATGTAAAACCAATATATCCATCCATCTAAGCCCTTTGAACATGCGAAAAATGATGTCACATCCTCTCACTGTATTCACCAATTTGAATGTACGTGTGGACACACACATGCACACATATGCATAGGGAGGACTCATCGATCTCTGCAAGTAAGGACTGGCTCCAGAAACAAATACAATCTTCCGAACCCATTAATGGTGAGAACAGACAAAGACCTAGCTCGTCTATTGCGAAACATATTGTAGAAGAGACAGGACATAAAATTGACGTTAACTAACATATCTTTCAAAGGCCTATCTATCTATAAAAGCGTGTTTGTGGGAGGGCGTAATCTAAACTTTGTGGAACCTAGCCCTAGCTGGCAGTTAAGAAGTTCAAACAACCTTTATGCGTTCAAAGCAGCAACAATTCGTCATCACACTAACTAACTATAAACCTTCTTTGGTAAAAAAATAAGGGTTTTTCGGTAACATCGATTATTATCTAAAACAAAACTAATTGAGACAGACAGACAGGCAGGGAGTGAGTGAGTGAGTGAGTGAGTGAGTGAGTGAGTGAGTGAGTGAGTGAGTGAGTGAGTGAGTGAGTGAGTGCGTGAGTGAGTGAGTGAGTGAGTAAATCCACTTCAGTGTACACAATGAAAAAAAATGACTCACCTTCAGTGTGTTCAGAATCATTTAAAGCAGCTTCATCGCCTAATTCACCGACTGTACGGATTCCATCGATTTTGTCTAATATGCCACCAGCACCAGCACCAGTTTGTCCAACTTTTGAGACACCAATATGTGGCATTTTTTCAAGTTCAGCTAATGCTGCCTTTGCATCGACGTCATCACGGCTACTTTCATCGTATGTCAAAACTTAAGTGGTACACAAGCACATTTTAAACAAAAAAAACAAACAAAGAAAACAGTGAAGACAATATGACTGTGAGAAAGGCTTACACACACAATTATAATCAATACACCGATCTAAAAAAAAATTTTCATTATAAAAAAACAGTGGTAATAGTGAAGCGGTCGGTCGGTCGGTTTTCGACATAGGATCACTTTGCACCGATGTGCACCAGTCCAAGTCACCACACTCCCTCCACTCCATGTAGCACACAAAGGAAGAGAAGAAAGTAAACGTGAAATGCATAATAGAGAGAGAGACAGTAAACAGAGGTGTGGTGACACAAAGGAATAGTAATAACGAAGAACAAAACAGTTTCATTGGAAATCATGAATCACAAGGAATGGATGCATCTGCGCCACTGAGAACGATTTTGAGCCATATGATCACCAAATGTTTCCAACCATTGGTTTTTACCGTCCCGAGGACCTCAACCAGGAAGTCTACACCTTCCTACGTGGCTTAGACTAACTGTTTTAGATTTCATTGACTGGTGCCATGTTTTCGTTTGACCGCCGCTAGCTCTTTTCCAGTCTGACCTTATGTCAGCTAACATTGCCTATTGTCAAGCAAGGTGATGACTAGGCCACGCATACGTAACACATGCCCTAACCATCTCAGTCGATGTAATTTCACAGTCTCGTTGACTGATTTCCTGTCCTTACCTAGCACTCGATGCCTAACCTCAATATTGCTCACCTTATTAAACCACTTCATCCTAGACTGATGGGTCTCAAACTAGGCTGATGAAACAGCAGCTGTCCAGTACTCCAGGGCTGGTTTCCAATGGTTCTCTCACTCACTGATATATAAATCCGTGATCAACTCGTGAAAGATAAGTGTAATGACAAAAATAAAGACGTTAAATTCTGAAATGTTATTGAATACTCGAATCACAATAATCTCAGTGTAAATCTTAGACGAGCACACTCTCTGATGTTAACGGGTGAGAAAGAAAAAGTGGAAGAAGAAATATCAAACATTACTGAAACTCTCTTCAAGCAAAACAACTACCCAACGAACTTCATCAACCCTGACATTAAGTATGGCTGAAAACACATTCTGAAAACATGGACCTCAACAGTCGTCACTCCATATAGAGCAAAGACATCAAACGATATCAGAAGAGTACTCAATCAGCTCGACATTACAGTTTTCTTCAAAACATTAGACAGGCACACTGCAAAACAATCTTGTCCATATAAAACACCAAATCCCTAAAGATTCTCTATCTAATTGAGTCTATAAAATAAAATAAAATGCTTGGAATGTGATGCGATATACATCGGACAAACATCACCAGAGAGAAATCAAAATCAGAAGAAATGAACACCATAGAGCCGCATCTGTCCGACCACCGAGAAATCCGGTTGAACTTGAAAAATCATCAGCTATAGGTCTACATGCTATAGAATCAGGCCACGACATTGATTTTGACAATATTGAAATAATCCAGAAAAACTTCAGAAATCACAAAAAACGTTTAATATCAGAATCACTTCATATCAAGTGGAATCCAAATTGTCTGAACTAGATAGGAATGATGGACTATAACAGAATCTCACCTGGTTACAACAGCCCCGCCCTCCCCTATGATGTGACAAAATCAACACGAATGTTCATCATGTGAACACACACTCTGCTTCTATAATTTTACACGCTGATCAAATCCAACAATCTACACTTGGTTTTGTTATCTTTACCAATCGGTCAATTTGACAACGAAAAATGACCACAGACTGATGAACGATGATCAAGTTAGTAAACTTTGTTTTGTTACCATAACAGATGTACTATGTTACCTCTGTAATTTGGTTTAGTCATTCATCTTCATTGTTATTTTCACCTTCAATATGTTCTCCTTTTAACTTGACCTAGGTAGTCAAGTCTGTTTTCTCACTCACCTCTTAACTCTTTGTTATAGATATGTATGCTGAGTGGATTATGTAAATTCTTCTGGTTTAATAATAATACTGCTTTGATAAAGCTATTTGTAGCAGCAGCATTGAATAGCGAAACGTCAGTAAGAGCAACAATATCTTTTTGTTTTTCATTCATTCTTTGGGAAATACAAGAAGAACCTTGATTATAATAAATCACAAAGGTTGACAAGTAAGAAATGCTAATAATTAAGTGAAGTAAACTGTGGATCGGTGAGAAGGAATAGGAAGGCTATAATAAGACATGATTACGTCAGTGATGACCTTATATTAGGCCATGGGGTGAACAAAGGACTCATTGCAGCACACCCACCTTAAGGAAAATTGAAGAAAGATATCTCATGGACGTCTTTCAAAATAATGGATGGATATCCACGGAATTTCATCAAAAGATATATAGCCCCCCAAACCAACCTATCAAACCAAAAGCCCCCAAGGAAAGCACAAAGAAAGTCACCCTGCCATATATATATATATAAAGGATATATCAGAAATCACTGCAACACTCTTCAAACCTTGATGAGGAATTGACGTCGCACACAAACCAACAAAATCACTTCACTCAGCTGGTTCTATGTCAACCAAAAGACTCAACAACGAAAGAAGATAAAACCAACATCATCTACAAAATAAATTGTAACATCTGCGACAAACCCTACATTGGCCAAAGTGGATATCCCCCCCTCTTCGTCTTCCTATCCACGATCATAAGCTACCCGTCAAAAGACATGATATCCACTCCATCGCTCATATCGCCTCACTGCATACAGACAACCACGGACATCAATTCAACTGGAACAACCAACGTTCAAATATTAGAAAGAGGAAACAACACCAAGAATGCTAGAGAATTTTTAGAAGTCTGCCTGATATTCCAGTGAATCATCAATCAATAGACACACATGGAGATTGACAAAATTTATCAACCGATAAGAAAGAAAACTCACACACACACACTCAAATGGTCAAAGTTCAAGTCAAAGAAACAATACCAGTTCCAATACAAGTAGCCGTCTACAGGGTGTCGAGAATGACACACAAAAACAAACCAATCACGTCGTAAGGTGGTCATCGACCAGGAGAAATCTAAAAGTTCACTTCAACGACTGAAATTGAAGTGTATGCGCTGTGAAGGAAGATGTCGCCTGCCTGCCTGCCTAGTAGTAGGGCAATAACGAAAGCTTTGCAAATTAACTAACTATCCAGTTAGGTCAGAGAACACAACACCACATCAAGATCATACATCCACCTATAAGCTAGAAATCTTCTCTGGCATATCCAAAAGGCCTCCTACTTCTGTTATTAATCAATGAAAATAATCTTATGCATATAACATTAATAATGAAAGAATGGTTCGATAAAGTGATCAATAACAATTGTAATCTATATTCAATACACTTCTCATTAAACGACAACCGCTTTTACACACCCCTGAAAGACAAAATCAATAATAATGGTCAATGAATAATCTTCAAGATCTACGCATACAAGCATACAACATACATACCGTGTATGTATATATAAAGTCCATTGGTGTACTTCCCTATAAAACTACGAGAACATGCATGCACAGTTTACAGATTTTAAGTGAGAACTACCCCAGTGATCAATAACAACAACAACAAAATGTGCTCACTTAAAATCTTTTTTATTGTTTAATATAAAAAAAGAAGAGAAGACAGGCAGAAGAGTAACAGATATAAGACATAAACAGAAGAAGAAGAACTCTTATAAACTCTTTTTGCATGTATGCGTGCTCACCGAAGAGAATTTCACAAAAGGAAAACACAAAAACTAATGACCTGGAATAGATCGATAAATTAGTAATAATAATAATAGTTATAATCGTTGACAAAATCAACTACTACTACTACTCAACACGCTTTTTCTTCTTTCTAATCTCACACAGTACAATAATAATAATAAAAATAGTAATGCGTAAATCAGCTCAGGTGAATTTAGCACACTTTTCACACACACGCACGCACCCACACACACACACATGTGTGTGTGATTACAGGTAGAGGCGAAATATTAATATATGTGTAAAACTTGGCCACTGTGGTGGTAGTAAGTAATTCCATATTAGTTTGTTTATTAGATATATCACACAGTGAAACAGTATTACTACTTACTGGATGACGTATCGAACAATATTTATTACTGTTCATAATCATATCACCAATTGTAATCACACGACTTTGACACTTAGGTTTTATAGTTTTCTTTGTTCTCTCCTTTTTGTCCTCGTCATTCAGGTAGTAGAATTTTCCAGATATCTGAGTGGACAGGTGATGAACCATTCCTATTACACGTATTTGCAGTTGATTCGATAAACAAAGCCTCTGTTATCAATCTCTCCCTATACCCTGTGACATTAGATTTTAAAACTGTCATCTTATACCATCCAGCCTATTGTATTTTAGGGTGTGTGCAATTGAATGCAATGCTTGCGATAGCTGCTGAACTATTCTCTAGATTTCTAATCTTATTCGGATCAACCAATCTAGATTTTGCTGCTAGGTTTTTATGCTCTGCTAGTCTGACTGCCCCTGTTCTACTACTTTGATCTATGTATTTGACCTGACAATCATTGCAGCAGCAGGGTATTAGATAAACTAAATTGTTTTGTTTTAAAGGCTTCACAGGACTGATTCAAGCAAACCACAACATTCTAACAAGTAACTTATTATGACTATAGAAACACTCGTCTTATTTCCCATCTAATTGTATTTGATCAATAACACTCATATTATTATTATTTCTGAATGTACATTATCCTATATTACTGATTTTTATTCCAATATCTAATCATCAATTCCACACATGTATATAAATGAAGGGAAAATGTTGTGTCAGTGAGTGAGTGACTTGACATGATGATTATGAGCGGCAATAATAAATTGTGCTTGAAACGTGGTCATCAGTTAATATTACTGTATAACACTACATTGTGTGACACTTTATCAAAATAAAATCTTATCCATTATGGAGTTACACCTTACGCTTCTCATCACTGATGAAGC